AAAAAAAAAAAAAAAGTGGAAGAAAGTTTGTATACTTTGAAAGGTGAAGCAAACATTTGCACAGTGGGTGCAGCAGAAAACAGTGAGTCTCTAGCGAAAGAGGCTGGGAAGAGACTGTCTCTGCCATACATATTCCCACTGCAAAGCCAGGCATTCCAGGCCACAAGGAAATAAGGGAGTATTTTATTTTTTATATTTATTATATCATATTATATTATGTGAATTAATCAATGGTCCACCTTGCCTGTTCTCACACCTTTTATAATGACGTGGTGATTTATCTGGCATCTGTGATGCTGGATTGTGGTCCCCTCCCTTTGACCTTTTACCCTTACTCTAAGATAGTTTCCTCCGTATGTGCGATCTCCTCAGCTCAGGGGAAGTATAAAGCATTTTTCACATGTGTATCTCACATCTCAGCTGTCACCTTATTTTACTGCACAAGCCTAGCGGTGTACCTAAGTTCTGCTGTCACCCACAAGTCACACTCCAGTGCAACAGCCTCGGTGATGTACACAGTGGTCACCCCCACGCTGAACCCCTTCATCTACAGTCTTTGCACTCTCAATAAATCCCAAACAATAACCCGCCTCCAAACAAACAACAACAAAAAGAAATCCAAATTATGGAAAAGTAGAAAAATTCAATAAAATTAGTGCAACTAAAAGAAAAATGAATCAGATAAAAAAGAAGAGGTAAATCTTTTAGTTAATTTTATTTATGTAACTTCACAAAACATTTCCAAAATAGGTACATGTCCCATCCCTTCTGAGGATATATATTAAATATGCAAGATTTGATTTATTTTTTAAAAAATTGTAATGTGCTCATAATAATTAAAAATAAAAAAATTAAGAAAGCATTAAAAAAATTTAAATCATTACTGAAGATAACTGAGAAAATGCCAGGTTTTATTCATACAGAGTTAAAATTACAGGTTAGAAAGGGAAGATGGAGATTGAATGAATACACAACTTTATTAACAGTAGCTAGGGCAGGAAAAACCCCAAAGAAAGATCAGAGGAAAGAACACAGCCCAAGTGTCCATTGACCCATGAATGGATTAATAAACTGTGGTATATGTGCACCATGGAATATTATGCAGCCATGAAAAAGAGACAAAGAGACTTTGCCTCTTTTATGTTTACATAGATGGAGCTGGAACATATTCTTCTTAGTAAAGTATCCCAAGAATGGAAGGAAAAGTATCCAGTGTACTCAGTACTATTATGAAACTGATATACAATTACCCACACTTTCGTACAAATGATAAAACACAACCATAGCCCAGAATGAAAGGAGAAAGAGGCGGGTGAGGGGAGGGGAGAGGGGAGTCTGGGTGGAGGGAGGGTAATTGGTGGGACCTCACCTATGGTGCCTATTGCAAGAGTACATGTCAAATCTATTCATAATTAAGTAAGTGAGGTGAAGGCTATGTTAACCAATTTAATGTAAGCATTCCAAATTATATATAAAATCAGCACACTGTACCCCATAAATGTATTAATGTACACAGTTATGATTTAATAAAAAAAATAAAAACACATACAAAGAGAAGTATCAGTGGAAAGTGGCCAGGCCTTCCGGTTCTTAGTATTGAGAACATTGCTACCCAAGAGAGGCTCATAGTGGCCCTTTCACTGAGATGAGTCCCTTGCCAAGGAGTCTCCCCAAAGCCCCCTTCACATCCCTGTTATTCAGGCTGTAGATGAAGGGGTTCAGCATGGGGGTGACCATTGTGTACATCACCGAGGCCATCAAACTTGTCCTGGAGGATGATATGGCTGCAGAGCTAAGGTAGACCCCAAGCCCTGTGCCATAGAACAGGGAAACCACAGAGAGATGAGACCCGCAGGTAGAAAAGGCTTTGTACTTGCCCCTGGCTGATGAAATGCTCAGGATAGAGAGGAAAATCCTAGAGTAGGAGAAGAGGATCCCAGAGAGAGAGAAAACACCTAGGATGATGGTTACACAATACCCCACTATGTTATTAACCAGGTTGTCAGAACAGGCGAGCTTCAGGACTTCCAGAAGATCACAAAAAAAGTGTGGAATTTCCACATTTGTGCAGAAGGATAACTTCAAAACAGTCAAGGTCTCAAGCAGGGAGATTGCAACACTGAAGCACCAGGCCCCCTGAGCCAGCAGCCCACAGAACTGGGGGCTCATGATGACTGTGTAGTGCAGAGGGTGACAGATGGCCACAAAGCGGTCATAGGCCATCACGGTCAAAAGTAAATTGTCCAGGCATCCAAACACAATGAAAAAAAATATCTGGCTGAGGCAGCCTTCATATGTTATGACTTTGCTCTGTGTCTGCATATTCACCAGCATCTTTGGGATGGTTGTGGAGGTGAAACAGATGTCAGCAAAGGACAGGTTGGAGAGGAAGAAGTACATGGGGGTGTGGAGGTGGGAGTCTGAGACTGTGGCCAGGATGATGAGCAGGTTCCCAAGCATGGTGACCAGGTACACGGACAGGAATAACCCAAAGACGAGTGGCTGTGAGTCAGAGTCCTCGGTAAATCCCAGGAGGAGAAAGATTCGAATTCCTGTTTGGTTTCTTCTTTCCATGAGGCTGGTGGGTTTGTCCATAAGAAGAGAATAAAAAAAAAGAAGCAACACAAAACTCACTCCAAATAGGCATTCCTCAGAATGACTACAATAATTTTTATTCAAACACAGGGAACTCAAGAAGTTATGCATTTTGATCAATCATTGGATCTCTTTGCTGACAAGTTGCAGTTACCATTGCTACCTGGAAATATGGTCTCTAGGCCAGTAGTTCTCAGACTGTGATCCCGGGAACAGCAGTTTCAATTATTATTATTATTATTATTTTGGCCAGGGCTGGGTTTGAACCCACCACCTCTGGCATATGGGACCAGCGTCCTCCCCTTTTGAGCCACAGGCGCTGCCTGGCAGTACCAATTATTAATAGCATCACTTGGGAACTCATTAGAAATGTGCACTGTCAGGCCCACCTGGCCAAATGAATCCTATCCTCAGGGTATGGTGCCAGCATTCTGGGTTTTAGCAAGCCGTCTAGGGAATGCTGATGCGCACTCAGGTCTGAGGACGGCTACTCCAGTGCTTGCCTGCAGCCCTAAGCAATCATCCCTTTCCCAGCGTCCCTGGAGGCTGCTCTTGTTCTTTTTGCCCAATTCATCAAGTCCCTGATAGTACGCAGATTTTCAATCCTTGAAAGATTATATTTCGTCTGCTGTCCTGAATTTCTATAATTTCTATGTGTTAATTCCTCTGCTAAAAGAGAAAAAGCCACTGTTATTCCTAATCATTGTTTTGTGTTTTGGTTTTGGTTTTTTGAGATGAGGTTTTGCCCTGTCACTCAGGCTGAAGTGCAGAGTAATCGTAGCTCACTGCAGCCTTGAACTCCTGGGCTCTGGTGATCCTCCTGCCTCAGCTTCACAAGTAGCTAGGACTACATTGAGCACTGCCATGTCTGGTTAATTAGTTTTTTCATTTTTCATAGAGATAAGGTCTTGCTGGGTTTCCCAGGCTGGTCTCAAACTCCTGGCTTCAAGTGATCCTCCCACCTTGGCCTCCCAAAGTGCCAGATTACAGTTGCCACCCACTAGGCCCAGCCTTGTTAGTCATTATTTATACTTCATTTATATTATCATTTCCCTACATAAACTCATTAAAAATGGCATTTCTAAATATAGAATTCCCAGAGTTTCTAAATACAGCAGTGAAACTTACACACCTTTTCTGTCATCTGATTCAACAAGATACTCCTCCCTATGGAAATGGCTCTTAAAAATGTGCCCATTTTGGACACTTATTTTCTACATTCTCATGAAGACAAATACAGTACAGATTAATTTTAATTTTATACTTTCTTCTCTTAGGATAATTTGTAAATGGCCTTTCTCAGTGTTTAAGAATTTAGGTATTTCATTAATTTTTAAAAAAGGTATAAATAAGTGTTTAATGATTAATTAACTATTTAGAACAAAGACTATTAAATTAAATCTATATTTCCAAGTAAATGCAAAATTTTAAGTATGGAATAAAAGACGACAGTCTTATGAATAGATGGTATCTTCATAATAAAGACCTAGAAGCTGTGTAGAGAAGGTCATCTAATACTAACTTGTCTTTATCATAATTTTATTCCTGATGCCAGTTTATTCTCCCACATGAACTTCAGAATCATCTAGCTATGTTGTAAGAAAAATGCCATTGGAATTTTATTGGAGATTCCATTAAAGTTATAAAATAATTTGGAAAACGCTGACATCTTTATTATGTTCAGATTTGCATTCTAGTAACAGGAATTTCCATCTACATATTTCAATCCCTTTTTTGGGAAAAATTTCATGTAGTTTTATAAAAATGTAGATTGTGTTCTTTTCTTGCTAACAGTATCATAATGTATTTTAGTTTTGATGTCATTAATAATTGTATTCCCACATATTATATCTCTGCTATTGCCATGATATTAGGAAAGGTTTTGCTTTTTCTATATTGATGTCATTAGTTTGCTTTTTTCTCTGGTTAATCTTGTGATTTTCTCTAAAATTCATTTAGTTTTTCCAAATAATATTAATTAATGACAACTTTTTCTCTTTTAGGACTTATTGCATTGGTTTGAAATTCTAGGACCTGGTTAAAATTTATAAGCATTGAAATTTTAATTTTTCTTCCTTTTTTTTTTTTAAAAAAGAGAATAACCTTAGAATTTAATATGATGCTTATCATAATTTAGAATACATTTTTTTTTTTGGAGATTGGGTCTCACTTTTGTTGCCCTTGGTAGAGTGTCATGGTGTCATAGCTCACAGCAATCTCAAATTCTTGTGTTCAAGCAATCCTTTTGCCTCAGCCTCCCAAGTAGCTGGGACTGTAGGTGCCTGCCACATGATCAGCTATTTTTAGAGACAGAGTCTTGCTCTTGCTCAGGTGGGTCTCGAACCCATGAGCTCAGGCAATCCAACTGCCTCAGCCTCTCAGAGTGCTAGAATTACAGGTGTGAGCCACCGTGCCTGGCCTAGAATACATATTTTTTATCATATTAACTTCTTATTGTTTTTTTAAATTAAATCGTAGCTGTGTACATTAATGCAGTCATGGGGTACAGTGTGCTGGTTCTATATACAATCTGAAATATTTTCATCAGACTAGTTAACATAGCCTTCATGTCATTTTCTTAGTTATTGTGTTAAGACATTTATATTCTACACTTAGAAAGATTCACATGTACCCTTATAAGATGAACCATAGGCGTGGTCCCACCAATCACCCTTCCTCCAATTATATTTTAAAAATTCTTAGTTGCTTTATAGGTTTTTTTTTTTTTTTAAAAAAAAGGTATGAATAAGAGTTTAACAACTAATCAACTATTTAGAAAAAAGAACGTTAAACTCTACCTATATATTCCCAAGTAAATTTCAACTTTAAATATGAAAAAAGAGACTATACAAGATATCTGAAGAAAACATAAATATATAGGTAATATAAATATATACATGGATAGGTATAATCTTTGAAAGATCTTTCTGAATACAAGGTCTTTGGTCAAAATAAGAGAAGAAAAGATCAGTAATTGGAACCATAAGTTGAAAAATTCTGGATGAGTTGGTGTTATAAGTGAGGACTTCATACCTGGAATATGTTTACTGCATCTGTTAGGTGTGACTTTACCCTACTCTTCCCCTCTGCCTCCCCCAACTAATTTTCCATTGAGATTTAGTCAACACTTGCATGTGTCAACATAACATTGACTTAAAATGTACAAATGTAAATTATGTAACCAAAATGTGTATACCCCTCTAAGACCCTGGAAAAAAAGTAAAGCTTAGCATTGCTATAAAAAAGAAAAATTCCGAAGGAGGCAAAGTGCTATTCAGAAAATGGAATGCAAAAATAATCTATTTGCTATGTTAACCAGTTTGATGTGAGCATTCGAAATTGTATATAAAATCACATTGTACCCTGTAAATGCATTAATGTATACATGATTTATGTATTTATGATCTAATAAAAATTAAAAAAGGGGAAAAATAATCTATTTGATTGATGAAAGTTAATATCTCTAATCTATAAAGACTTAATTAGGAATCATAGAAGGATTAATGCATTTCTAGGTGAAAGGAAAAGAATATTAGAGATTCATAAAACAAGATCTAAAAAGGGTAATAAACGAGAAAATTTTTATTCTTCTTGTAAATCTATAAAAAATAACTTAAAAATTAGATAATTTATTTTACTGGGGGAATTAAAAAGTCCTGTATGTATCCAAAGTGATTGTACTCCCATAATATTCTGAAATTAGAAAAAAAGGATAAGAATGCAAAATTCTATCATAGATGAAGAGAAATAACATTTAAGTTACTGCTATGAAAAGATACTTGATCTCCTGTTCTGAACTGGAAAAATTAAATCAGCATATAGATCTTGTATAATTATACATATATGTGTACAGAAAAAAATTATCTACAACATACACCAAAATATGAACAAGGATTATTTTTGAGTATTAACATAAATCTTGACTTTTAGATTAATTTTCTACTATATTGTTCAAAAGATGTGAACGAATATATATGTAATCATGCTAAAGAAAATAAAAACTTCAAATTTTGAAGATAATGGTAATAAATATTTCACAAAATTAACCTAGTTAAAATAGAAAGGAATAGATAATTTTTTAAAAGCCTGAGTGTGATGGTTCACAACTGTAATCCTGGCATTTTGGGAGGTTGAGGTAAGAGACACCCCATCTCTACAAAAAAAAAAAAAAATTAGCCAGGCTGTTAGTGAGTGCCTGTAGTCTCAGCCACTCTGGAGGCTGAGGCAGGAAGATTGCTTGAGCCCGGAAATTTGAGGTTACAGTGACATGTGATTGTGCCACTGCACTCTAGCCTGGGTGCCAGAACAAGACCCTATTTCTTTTTTTTTTCTTTATGAGACAGAGTCTCACTATGTTGCCCTCAGTAGAGTGTTGTGGCGTCACAGCTCACAGCAACCTCAAAGTCTTGGGCTTAAGTGATTCTCTTGCCTCAGCCTCCCAAGAGCTGGGACTACAGGTGCCTGCCTCGACACCTGGCTATTTTCTTGTAGTTGTCATTGTTGTTTGGCAGGCCCAGGCTGGGTTTGAACCTGCCAGCCTTGGTGTTGTGGCTGGCGCCCTAGCCACTGTGCTACAGGCACTGAGCCAAGACCCTGTTTCTTAAAAACGCACGCGCACCCCCCCCAACCCCCACGAATGCATACATGCTTGGCACACCATGGGCTCCTGGAGCTGTATTACTTTTCTCACCTCAGTTACACTATTGGAAAGGAATGGGTATCAGATATGTTTTCAATATCAAATTATCTTTTCTTGGAAGAATACAGAAATGGTACTCAGAAATTCCAGTCTGGAAATCTCCCAAATTGCACAAGTAATGTTGAGGCTTTATTATTATTATTATTATTATTTTACCTAAATCAGTTTTTATTTCATTTGTTTACACTCTATGCCTTAAAGCATTTAAGGTATGTTACAATGATTTAAAAAATAATAATAATTCTCTGGTTATCTATGATGTGTAATACACAACCCAAAC